TGACAGTACCAGATTCTAATTCTCTCAGTGTGATTTTTTTGTTTGTATTTTAATATTTAAAAATGGACTATATTCTATCTTCATTTATATCTGTGCAATCCCAGATATTTGGCAATGACCAAAATTTGGCAATCTATATTTTTCCCCTTCAAGTGCATTAATTCTGTCCTTTCTTTGATCAGAATATTGATAAATCAGGAGTTTTGAGGGGAAGCTTTTACTGCCATTAAGTTTCAGATCATATTCTTAAAATAAATTCATCTACTGCTTATACAGTTTTAATTCTTTAAAAGTATTTTTAATAAAGAGTGGACAAGCACCTACTATGAGAGACAGGAAGTACTTTCACTTAAGTCAAATAAATAAAATGCTTTATAAATATAACATAATTAATACTCTGATTCACCCTCAACCTAGTGTAGTAACTAAGGCCAGTAACTAACGCCAATTATTGTGTTAGTTTTCGAAATACAGGAATCAAACAAAGCTTAGTTCATAAGCCACTGAGCAACCAATAGACTGATTTCTGAATTAAGGTTTACAAGTTTAGGTTTGGAGGTTTTTTTGTTTTGTCTTTTGGCCTTTCTTAAAATAAAGCCTGGTGACTACAAGGGACCAGCTTTTGGGTACCATTTAAAGGCTGGTTGCCAACTACTTAGGAAGATTCAAGATAGTTCAAATTTCTAGTTACTTCTTGAGATACCTCCTTGGAACCACCTAGGTCAGGGGTCAGTCACCTTTTAGGAGCAATGAGCTGAAATAATGCCACAGAATCCCTTTGCCACTGAAATGACATTGGCATCCAGGCTTTGCAGGCTGGTTGAAACTGCTTGGTGGACTGGATCCGAGCCACACGTTATATGTTGCCAACTCCTGATCTAGATGTTCTTCCCCCAGAGCATGATGTATAACTTTTGATATCTGGATCATAAGAACTACATCTCACTGATTTCTAAGAGCTGAGCTGACTCAAACTCATGTATCTGTGTCAAGTCTCCACTTCTGTGCTGTAGTCCTCAGTACCTTGACTTCAAACCCAAACACCTACCGAACAGAACAGATTTAACCACTACCATTAAACTGTTTATCTTCACTATTATTAATTGCACTGAATTTTAGTGGGCACATCTACACGAGACGTTTACTGTGCAGTTGACTAACTAGCTGTGCAGTAAACATCTTGGTGTCTACACGCGCACCCCTATTAGGCTGGAATACACTAAATTTACTCCATACCAGGATAGTACTTGTATTTAATAAAAACTCTGCAGCAATGCATGTGTAGACACTGGAGAGGCTGGCTGGGGCATGAAGGTACTTCAGTGTAGGAGCTGCCTCCCAGCTAGCCCCATACTGAAGCTTCATCATGCCCCTGCCTGTCCGTTGGCAGCACATTGAACCAGAGAGAGTGGCCCCAGGCTGGCAGTCTGACCCTCAGGACCCCGTGCCAGCCAGGGCTGTTCTGACTTGGTTCCACATGCTGTGCATAAATAAATTGTGGAGCTTATTGCTCTAGAGTTAATTGTGCTCAGGCACACGTTCAAACAGTGTGCCTGGGAGCAATTGACTGCAGAGCAATAAGCTCTGCAATTTATTCAGGCACTATAATTGCACATGTAGCCACGCCCAGTAGGTAGCACCTTAGACTAAATACAGATGTTCAAAACCCTCCTGGAAGAAATGCTCTATCACACTTTACTTAACGTGCCATAAGTTATAGCAGGAATGAACCTAACAGACATTTGCTGTTCAGTGGGGGGAGCTTGGTGCCTGCCTGCACTGGCCAAGGCCAGCAGGTGGGAGTGCTCCTGCATGCCTCCCAGGAGGCTACTGGAGCCAGCCCCACTCCCCTCCCACTAGCTGGTGACTGTCAGCAGTGGCTGGGATATGAAGGAGGTGGGGGAACATAGCACCCCGCTCTTTGGGCCTGCCCAGTTTACTAGCTGGTACTCGGGGGGCAGGTGGAGTCAGGTCTGTATAGCGGATGGCTCCCTCTTCCCTCCCACCCCCCAGCCAGCCTCCTTTTCAACACACAGGGCTGCCTGGCCATATTTCTGCCATTCCAGGAACTGGGGCCAGGGGGGAAAGGGGGACCCCCTGCCACGCGCACCCAGCCCAGGCCCCTCCCCACCAAGACCCCAGGCAGCAAGTTGTGGGGAAGAGCCCCTCACAACAGGAGGGGCTCCCTTCCTTCCCTAGCCCAAGTTCCCAGTGGACTAAAAACCCAACCAGGCAGTCCCATGCTGCAGCTTCTGGCAGCTGTTTTTAAGAGGCTGGGCTAGGGAGGGGGGGTGGAAGGGAGCCCCTCTGTTGCACAGACCCAGCCCAACCACCCCCAGACACCAAGCTGGGAGGGGATGGGGGGGGCTCACAGCAGGTGGGTTCCCTTGCCCCCCTTCCTCAGCCTCCTGACAGCTGCATCAAGGGCTGTCCTGCTGGCTTTTCAACGTGCTGGGAACTAGGGACAGGGGGGAAAGGAGCACCCCCCTGCTGCAAGGCCCCCTGCCTCACTGTTACTGGCTAAGGTTTTGAAGGGGGCTGGACTGGGTCTGTATGGCCAGGGGTCTCCTTGCCCCCCCAGCCCCAGTCCCTGTAACAGCAAAAAGTTGGCTGGGCATCTGCCTTCTGCACCTGCTGGCTGCCATTGTCAGGAAGCTTGCGGGGGGAGCGAGTCCCCCATTACATGGACCCAGCGTGCCTCCCCACAAGGCCCCATCTAGCAAGCTGTGGGGGGCGGGGATGACCTAAGAGCAGGGAGGGCTCCCTTCCTTCTCTGCCCCAGCCTTTTGACAGCTGCAGGTAGAAGCCACAGCATAGGGCTGTCCAGCTAGCTTTTTGCCCCACCAGGAACTCAGGTCACAGGGGAAAACAGAGCCTCTCTGCTGCATGGACCTAACCCAGCCCCCACCAAGACCTGAGCCTGCAAGCTTGGTGGAGGGAAAGGAGGGCAGAGAGGCTCTATTTCCCCCACCCCCACCACAGTTCCCAGGGTGGCAAAAAGTGGCACAGCTAGGAGCTGCAGCTCTTGGCTGCAGCTGGAGGAATGGAGCTTCTCGGTCATGTGTGGACCCAGCTCGGCTCCCACTATGACCCAAGCCTGCAAGTTTGCAGGGGTCCCTGTGGCTGAGATGTTCCTCCCCTCCACCTCCTCACCTGGCTGCACAGAGAGGAGACAGAGCCTTTTCTGTCTTTACTCTATGACAGCCCAAGGGCAGGGCTGGGCCGATGCTTGCTCAGAGCAGATGAGGCTAGCAAGCCACCCAGCAAGGGGCCCCTGGGATGGCAGCAGAATTTGACCTTGAAGCATGTTGGATGTGGTACAGAAGTTCATAAAAGCACCCTAACCTAAAGCTCTTTAATACCACGTTAATCATGGGTTAACTTGAGGGCAAGATCTGCCATTTTTAAAGCACTTCAAGTCCTGTGAACATCTGTTCTGTTATGGTTTTAAAGAGCTTTCTGTGCACTTACATGTTAAATGTAATGTTTATAGCTAGTCTTAATGCTCACTGCAAAAGGCAGTGCATGCTAAGATTAACATTGGACACAGTGAGAACTTCAAATTAGGCTGAAGTATATTTTCTATTAAAATGTGGTTGAATTTAGGACTCCCCACAATTCTTACACAGAACTGGAACTTGTGGTCATGTACTTCTATCATGCTGGTCCTAGTTCAAGAGCCATCTCAAACTTTTTATCTACTGAGTATCCTTTTTATTGCATATTCCAGGAATATTTGGTACCAAGTCCTCTTCCAAAATCATTCTTCCATTCTCTCTTATTTGAGTTATTGTTCCATGTCTCATCTTGTCTTTGTTTTGTTTATCTTAGACTGAATCCTTTTCAGGTCAGGGAACATGTATTACTTTAGTTGTAAAGTGTCTAGGTTAGTAGTAAAACTATGGCAATTCTTTTAGTTAATAAAGAATAAATACTAAACCAAGATCCAAACCCAACCAGTTTATCCTTATGCTTATTTCTATTCTCAGTAGAAAGGAATCTCTCCTATAGATTAAAGCACAGTAAAAAGATAAGACAATGCAGGTATAAAATACCCTTCACTTTTTAAGCTGGAAGGTTTCCACATATATAAAGTACAAGTGGCTCTGTAAAGATTAAGAAACTTTTTCCAGATGGCATATGAACCCTTTCATCTCTTTTATTGAAGAGCATTATACTGCATTATATGCAGATAAAATCACGAGATATGATGCCATGTGAGGTAGCTATTTCAACTGGAATAATAGCCAGATGAAGTACCAGTCATAATGTCTGACTATAGACAAACTCGTATCTAATTTGGCTAACAGATCACCTTTGGAATATCAGACACGTATGTACATTATAGTGCTCTGGTACATAGATGAGACTGGTAGACATCAGCAAAATTTCAACATGTAATTCAAAATTTAATTTATAAGAATTGATGCAAATCAAATCAAGGTAAGTCTTGTCACTGACTTCAGTGAAGGTGGGATCAGACCTACAATGAAAGAGCACTTAGGAAAAGTTGTATTAAAGAAGAATGACCATCTTAGCTACAGGGGTGTAGGTTGTGTCATTGGATTTATGACACATTATAACCTCCCTGACATCCGACTCCCCAGGTACTTCTCCACTATTCATCCCCCTTCTCTCCCCACCCACCCAGCATGTCTCTTACCCATTGACTTCTCAATCTACAGCTTCACTGACTTACCTGTCTTGTATGCAGACGAGCCCAGCCTCTGGCTTCTTTGCTTTTCATTCCATCCAGGAAGAGCACACACCAACTGCTGAAACTTCCTTAGCCTGAGGAAGGGTTTTTGAACCCGAAAGCTTGCTTAAAAACTATTTTTCAACTATTTAAGTTGGTCTAATAAAAGATATCAGACTCACCAAAAGAACCTTGTCATCTTAGCTACATTCACTGATTTCCAGTTTTCTTAATACAGCAAGACCACATGTTCTACTTGAAGCTGGAAGAAAATAAACAGTTAATCTATGTAGAAAAAGGATATGAATAAGACCTTCATCAATGTTGCAAATTGCACTCTGAAGCTGGCCTTCTAGGTACACCAATTTCTCACTTATTGCTTCACATTTTTCTCCCAGCTCTGCAGAAAGTATGTAGAATTCCTAGAGTAAATGAAAAAGAAAATGTGTTTGCTGTTGATTGCATTAGTACAAATAAAATTCAGGGCAGATTAAGGATACATTATATATACACTTTTATTTTAAAGGCAGATTTAAGGTACTAGTTAGAGGATACAATGCCTGGCTAAGTGATTGAAACTAAGATCCAATTAATAGTCTGAAGAGAATTATCATATGATGATTTGGAGACCTATGTGAAATGAAATGACCTCATAGTCTCAACCCACTTCCTACCAGAAAAATCAGTCATTGTAAATGCTATTCTCAGCAAAGGATTAAGTGGGCATAAAAATTGAACTGCCTTTTCATACCTCTGTGTAGTTCCGTCACATAATCAGAGGGCGTTCCTACACTGCCCATTCCACATCGGTTCAATAAAAAAAAGGACTATAGTCTCCAGGGGTAATTAAAAAATTAGTAACTGAAAAAGTACCTAAGCACAATTTTTACACATTGCCTCAATGAGTTTTAATGAGTTAGGTTCCTAAATATAAGATGCTTTTGAAAATGGGACTCAAGCTCATAAGTCACAAAGGTGCAGACAGAAGTGATGTATTTCATGTGATCCGGCCCATGAAAGTGCTCTACAGCCATGACCTAACACATGTGCATGGCTGTAGAATGCTTCTAAAACCAGTGATTGCATGAAAAATTATCCGTCATCTAATCAGGTAACAGATTAAGTTGCTCTGCTTTAGAGCACCTTAGGGAACTTGTGTTACCTTGAGGGTTAATTTTTCATGCAAGGGCAGGATTGGGTTAATTTTTCATGCAAGGAACAGTGGACAGGGAGTGGAGGGAGCAGCAGCTACCAGGCTGCTATGCCTGGCCTGAACTGGGGTAGGGGGTGGAAAAGAATGGAGCCCCTTGCTTCATGGCCCCCACTAGATACCCCAACTGGTGTATTGGGCATAGATTGACTGTGCCCCTCAGGTGAAGGGGTTCCATTCCACACCACCCTGACCCTAGATCTGGCCAGCCTCTTGAGAGTGGCAGCAGTAGCTGCCATGCAAGCCCAGCTTGAGCCAGAAGGGGGAGAAGAGGTGGAACAGAGCCCCCTTGCCCAGGGCCCAGCCTAGCTCCCCCCAGGACTCCAGCTGGGGTAGCCGGGGGGGGGGGGGTTGCTGCGAGGCAAGAAGCTCTGTTTTACACCCCCACCCCAGCTCAAGCCAGGCATAACAGCCCAGCTGCTGCTGCTGCTCCCTTCCCTCCCTCTCCACTGACAGCCCTGGAGCTGGGGGGTGGGGGCAGGGCTTTGGACAGGGGCAGTTCGGCAGTCTCCTCAGAGGCTGCTGGAGAGCCCCCACCTGCTGACCAGAGCCAGTGCAGGCAGGCTTGATTCTTCTGACCCAACAGGTCTGCTGGGCTGGGGAGGGTGCTCTAGCTCATGACACTTTACATAAAGCACCATGAGTTAGAGTGGGGCCCTGAACATCTGTCAGCACCCATAGACATTTTCACTGACATCTCTAATAAGCACTAACTTTGTTTATAAGTTTTAGAAGAAAAATAATTGGCTAAGAAGTTAGGAACATTTTGGTGTTCATGGAAGGGCACAGGCTTTTAGAGCAAGGATTTTTGGAACTTCTGCCTCCCC